ACTTTAAGGTGACCACCATTCCCTTTAGCAAAATGTGGGTTCTTGATTTTGTTTCTTTTATTGCTTCTGTGAGACACTTTTCCTGTTACGAGTTTACAAAAGATCACCTTCATAACGTGCAGTTTAAGATATGTCATTTTTTGTTTGAAAATTTAATAATTACATCAGATCTTACGATAATTAACTTACCTTTTTTTAAACTGTCAAACATGGATTTGATTTCAAAATAGCGATTGCTCAAAAAACCTTCCAGAGAGGCTTATGCACTATAGAGCACGAAACCTTACAAAATTTGCCGACCCCACACCGTACAGGTTTCGTGCTACGCGCTCACAATCACATGCATCATTGAACTCCCCACAAACAGATTCCACTTTCTGCCCCCCCCCCCGGTAGAATCATCTTCCTACTTGCCTGTTACATTTCATCCAAGCTTGATTCCCAACACAAAAGGAAACAAAAGATATCTCTTTTGGGGTATGAATTTCCCTATCTGCAAGTGGGGTAGACGACTTTGACTCCCTGGTAGACTGCCTGTTGAAAGGGTTACGGTGCCTTTTCATTTATACTTTAAATAATCCTATTTACATAAACGCCGTGAAGGGGGACCCTGAAAAGAAAGAAAAAAAAACAAGAAAAAAGAAAACAGCCAAAGAAATGAAAATTAGAAATGAAATAGAACATAATTATTTGCTTGAGAGAAAAAACACCAAACCTTCCCGCAGTTAAATGTTATGGTTTTAACTAGACAGTTTGCCCCTCCCCCCATGCTGGCGACGCCCATGCATATTTTTAGCAAATATGTGTTGCCATTTCGGACAACACCTTGATGTTGATACCATTCTAACATTAAAATGTGCTATGATTTAGGAGAGATTTCAGTAGCAAAAAATGAAAGTGAAAACGAACCTAACACACACCTTTTCATCAACAGGATTGAAATCCCCAGGGCTTTTGACCTCACATCCATGCTGTCACATCCCCGGTTACTAACAACCCCGTGGACATAACCTTCGGCAGTTATTTACAGTCTCACGCAAAATAAATCACCAGTTGAACGATATTTTACGGAAACCTATTTACAAATTTATTATTTAAAAAACTATTTACAATCTCGTTGTTATAGTTACATGATATGATTTGCGCCCGGGACTTTTGGGGTTTGAATGTTATAGCTGCACAATTTATATAAAGATTAATTGAACATACAACTATAAAGGATTCTTGCTGGCTCTGCAGCGATGGTAAGTTTTCTTCTTGGCCGGACAGGAACTCTCGGGCTGTCTTGCTGCTGAGAAGCCTACGGGACACAACACCGGCCTAACCCTCTCGGACACCGCCGGTCGAGTTGACACTGGTGTTTCCTCCCTTACTCACAGAAGAACCTTCCACTTGACTTCATTAAGTCCTTCAGCTCAACTGGCTGGCTCCTCGCAGTTCTCAGTCTCAATTACAGCGAAATCATCGAGGCTGGCAAGACGTACCCTCTCCTCGGACTCTCCGACGCAAGTGTCCTCTACACCCCGAAAAGTTTCTAAACCCCACCAAAGTTTCTACCTACGACACCCTCAATCCTTTTGTTGTGTAACCCTGGTGACCTTCCAAGAAAGGACTTAAGCAAGAATCGAGCTCTAGGCTATCCAATGGCGTTTGTCTGTTCTTCCCGCGAAACTGTGTAGTTTAAATAAAAATACTGCCTAAAAAAACACTGGCCAAATAAAATCATCAATTTTTTTTCTTTCAACACACAACTCGTGTTAACTTAGAATATGTTTGGCTCCTTTGCGTAAATGAAATAAGAGGTATTTCTCTCAATTAATTAATCTCACCTCGTGACACATACGTTTATTTGTCACAAACCATCCATGCAGTGCAGGGCGCTGGGAAGGGCAAATACATAACATATTTTTTGGTCGAGAACTGACTGGATGGAATCTGTAACATCTGAACACGGGTCGACTCTTCCGGCTTGGTGCGCATGACAGATGTGCAGTTATACTGTTTTTGGTTCGAGCGTCCAAAGCTGTGATGTGTTTCATGCGTTTGGTTTGTAGAAGTACTGTTTTTAATCTCCCATTTTAAGAACTATAAATTAATAAATCTCGACCGATAAAAGTTCAAAATTTAATGTAACTTGCAAGTCCACTTGCTTGTGTTCAGCACTAGGAAAATGAAATCTTAATGTGGAAATTCACACCACAAAATAAGATTTCGTTGTCTTTGTCTTGGAAAACAGGCTTAGTTGAAATGTAACATCCATTTTTGTTCCAATTAGCAATCTAAAACCAACTCCCAATGCATTTCATCCTAAAAATATATTTGTAAACAGTGCACTGAATAGGACTTATGAAACTATTGAAATATTCGCTGTGGTGAACTATCAATCGCGGAAAGATCTTATAACTCACCGTGGCGAGATAGTATCATCCTGAAAATTCTTTTTGAAAGTGGCCCTTATACGCTTCCGTACTTGCGTGCTTCAATGCTTCCGTACAAATGCTTTTCTAGTAGTTTTTATGGGACTTAGGAGGTACAGGTCCCAAGATGGAATTCGGGCGGCTTTCTCTAGCTTCGCCACAATCTAGGATCGCCATCACTGATCTCTGCTCTATTTTCATCGCTGCAGGTGCTTGGATTTGCTCTGACGGCCCTCTACTTAGTGAGCGCAGCTTTCAGTTTAGACAAGCTAAAAACGAAAAGGACCGTCATCCCCACTACACACGTCGCTACCCAGGACTCCCCACAAGACTCCTTACACTTACAGGTCTATCACAGGGTACCCCACAGCACCTTCCACAGGTTGCTCACCAGGATGCCCCACAAGACTCCTTACAGGATCTATCACAAGGTACCCCACAGCACCTTCAACAGGATGCCCAACAAGGCCCTCCACCCCCTTATTCACCCTGCCCTTTAGGAGACCGTGATTTGTTACAACCCCACTTCCATCAACCTGTACGTATGTAGGGGTTATAGGGTCAGGATAGCCGCAGCACCCAAAAATCGGCTAGTAAGGATTTTAATTCGGTGTATAAGCCAGACCGGCGTATGAGCCGTACCACAGTGCTCACGATCCAACCAGGAGGGTTATCGTGCTGCATGCTGAAGCGTCAGTACAGCATACAGTAGGTCAATGGTTCCATTGAACAAGCAATCCTAATAAATCTAAGCAGAGTGCGAACAAGCGCCACCATTAAAAAGGAATTTTAAGTCCTCCAAAATGAATGATTTTTGCGGGCTGCATGATTGACCATGCACCAGCTCTTTGTACAAATGATATTGAAGGATGTGGCCTGCCATTTTCCATTGGTATGATGTCACAGGTAATAATGTGTGACTGAAACAAGACAAAAGAAGTAAAGCATATGTTCAGCATTTTGGTCTGAATGTTTGAGGTGCCAAGTATGATGAAAATATCACATTAAATCTAGGATTTTTCAGTATTTCAAAATTACCCAAATATTTCACCTTATATGTCAAACAGCTTTGCTTTTTGGATCAAAAATGTAGAAGCACTCAGGATGTGCCAAATCACAGAGTATGGACATAATGGCTGTATTGTTTTGTGAGATGTCACAGAAAGAAATAAGGTGGTCATTTCTTACCAAATGTTGAGGGTCATTCTATACCTGATAATGTCATTATGACATCCAGCTTGTAGGCACATCTTTGGAATAGGGTTGATGTAAAGTCATGTAACCCTGCCCCCCTCTGGATAGTCGCTGCCAGGCGCTTTGAAACCTAATGATAATTTACACGGAGGGGTTGAAAAGTTTGATGGAAAAGTTATGATCTGGACCTCATCTAAGCCACAAGTTACTTATAAGTGGAGTGTATAACCAACTCTTGGCTTGTACATGCTACACACTACATGACAATCTTTTTTTCTGTGATGATTGGTAAGCTTGAGTTCAGCATGAGCCCCGAGTTAGTTCCAGTTCACAAGAGAACCTATACGAAGTCATTCCAAAGTTCAATATTCCAACTGTATGTTATAGTCGGTTTAATTTATATTACTTGCATCACCTGTAAACAACATTTACCTACTATCTTTCTGAATTCACCGAATGTTGGCAAAGCAACAGAATGGAAAACATACAACGCTGTATCTAAGCTTTAAAAAACTTTTCTTTTTTCTCAGTTAAATTCGACACCACACAAATAATGTAAATAGTCTCAAACATTAAAAAAGATAACAAATTTTAATCAATAAGTCTTATATGTATGTCACCAATTGCTCCAGGTCCAGTGAAAAAAGTGAATAAAGTGAGAGTTTGTCTAGACACAAATTCTTGAAATAAAAACGTGACAAACTACAAAATATTTAGTGTCTTTCAATGACAGTGCATTGCTTAGCATACAGTTTCAATAGAATTCCAAAACATCACCTATGGCAGAGACGCCGGACAACATGACGCCTTGGAAAAACCAGTTTACTTCTCCCCAAACACGACCTGAAAATTTCATACACCACATAAATCCTAATAATTAACATGACAGTTAAACTTCAACCATGTGCCTAGAATTGGAGGACAGCCTCATCCAATCCTCCACCTTGCGAGCATTTCTCCCCAGTTGTGCACACTGCTGTGAAAGTGGTTCAAAGAAAGCAAAATGCACGTAAATGAAGACTGGAGAACTGTGTTTCAAAACCAGTTGGAGCCATTTCCATCGTTCATTGACCTTGGCAGGATTTCCACTCCAAAATGTCCACTCATAAGAACGTAAGATGAATGAACAATGGTTGTCGTGAAATGTGTTACTTGCAGGTTCCATGCACAAGTTGCCCTAAACAGTAACAAAGAGAAACAGAGAGATTCCCCCAACTCTTTGAAGGTTAAAGTGTGCGTGTGGTCCCTACATACAACTATGAAAACAAGAAAGTATGCACATGAAAAGAAAAGCTGCAAAAACTATCGAGATGGCTTACAAAGCTGGCGACAATGGAAAGTTTTCCAAAATTAACAATAATTTTCCATGACAGAAATGATTTTTAATGGAAAAGAAGTTAGCCCAATTATCCAAACATTAACTCTCGAAGAATGCACAAGGACGCCGCCATGTTGCTTGCATGCTACAAATAACTAGTACCGATAACCGGTTGTATGTTCCCGGCGTTCGAGCGGCCAACCCATGAACAGCAGATTGAGCTGTTTGTTAACATACGAGAACAAGCCGCCTGAACTCAGCCACTACTATCAAGTTGTCAGTACCATCTATGTCTCCTATCCAGGACCAGTGGGATATTTTGAGTGTACACCAAAACAATCCCATAATGCTGGAGAATCTTAAAAATTTCAAAGACTTAAACACTGGTAAACCATAGGTTGATATGCACCATCCCTGGTCTTGCTGTGATTGAGCGATCCTTAAGTCTATCTCAAATTTCACTTCCCTTTTTTGAAATGATCTATCACAACTGTGAATTAGAAAAGGCAATTGACTGGCAGTAGAATTATCAACAAATTGCACAAACAGATCGACTGAGTGTACAGATCAAGTGATCACACAGATCGCCTAATCGTGCCCAACAAATGCATTTGCTTAACAAGAGTAGGTCGTTGGCCCCAGTGACAAACAATGTATATTTCTTAGGAATGGTTATCAGCTGATGTTTATTTAGTAAAAAACTCTGCGCAGTAACATGCTCTTACTCAGTGACTCAATGAAATAGAGCCAAAGTTAGGTCCCCCCCCAAAAAGACAGAAAAACAACACCAACAAACTGGGAAATCTGATCAGTGGAGATTTCAGTTCTTGGGTGTGCGATGCTGATCTCAGAGACCTTTGAGGTGTTGCTTTGCTTCTCCCAATGCCTGTATGCACAGAGAAGGAGAGCAAAAAAGCCATCAATGCATTTTAATGCAAACATCTTTAAAACCTCCATTTGGATAATTGTAAATATCAAAACCTTTTGGAACTATTTTTCCTTTGTCCCATCTGAAATTTGTCTTTTCTGAGCATTTTTTTTTAAAGAGGAATTCAAAAGGTTTAATATATTTTGACATTTATTGGGGGTTTTGATATAGATTGGCCATCCAAAAACTAACACACAATGGAGTTATTAACAAAAACAGTGGACAAGAGGAAAAACAGGCATTTTCTTTACCGGAGCAATTTGGGGCAAAATCTGAATAACATGAAGTCAAATCTCATGTTCAAATGTATGTCGAGCTGACAATATCATTTGGAACACATTTACACACAATGCACATACAATGTACATTTGGCTGTCGGATGGGCCTTCTGTGGGTATATGCATGCATGTCTTCCCCATGTTGTCACTGAAATAATCAAGTTCCTGTCGTGACATTGATGATGGATTCAATCCCTAAGAAAGTGACAAACTCATAGATCCCGGGATGATGGCTTGGGACCTGCTGTTGGGTCTGTGGTGCCGACCTGAATCTGATACATCAGTATGAACGTGACCCTGCTGAAAAGCACTGCAGTACAGGCTACCAGTGAGGCGGTCCATGAGTATCCCCTCATCACTTTCTTAAATTACAGTTGCTTCTGAAGATACTGGATTCATCTGAACAAGTCCACAATTTTTTTTGCACATCACCTATCTGAGTTTAAAATCTAGCCTCATTGTCCAGGCAATGTGACTATGTTATTGCATAACGTGGCAGAAACCTGGAGAACGGCCAAGTCTGATTTTGGGAGGGCATATTCCCCGAAACCAACTTCTACATTTTCATGACAAGATATGCAGAAAATCACCCTTTAAACATGAAGAATGAAAGAATCAAAGTGGACGAGAACATTCCGTTTTGAGCTTGCCTCTACCACACCACTTGCATAAACAAGCACCCTATAAATGTTCAGTATTCATTTTGCATCTCAAGATAACATTCAAGGGTCACCTGCATGTCATTAATACATAAGGAGTACTTCTGAAATTGGCAATAAAAGTTCATGGGGGCCCATGTCTTTGATCGTAACTATGACAACTGTGCTGTTTTTATGTATATTTTAGAAGATGGTCTTATCACATCTCTTGAAAGGCTCGTTTGCAAAAAACAAGGTTCCGTTTGACTGTTAAAGGTTGTAGAGAGTTAGTCGGAATCCATAGAGAATTTTCGGAGAAATTGTACCCTCTGCAGTTGAAATATATACATGTATATAAAAATAAATCTATATACATAGCAATTTCACATTAAGACAAATTGAAGTGGACTGAACGACAGTTTCAAGACAACTGATAAAGGACATGTAAGAAAAACAGCAACTGACCCGTTTGTCTTCATCTTTCTTGCAGTCATACTCTAGTAACTTGTTCAGGTAGACTCTGGCCTGTTCCTTGTCGTTCACCTTCAGGTATGTCCTGCCCAGCATCAGAAGATTCTTACTGTAGAAACCAGGACTGACTGTAGGGGGGAAAATGGGAAGGGCGGTGCTCACGGTTTCATTAAGGATTGAAATAGATGCTTGTCCCTTTTGAGCCAAGGTGAAAAACTGCCTGTCCTCTCCAAGGGACATTTCTGAAACTGACACCCCTTGGTGCTGTCTAAAGACGTATTTCCACTGCACCCGATATTATGGAAGGAAACCCGAAGACTTGACCACCAGCATTTAAGATGCGCATAACAAAGGGACTGGTAAATACTGAACTAGCAAATACTGCCCCCAATTTTGCCTGCCCTTGAGTCAGGTGGCTAGAAGAGACACTGCCAATGCTGACAGTTTATACTTGTAGATAAACTGGACTGCGACCATAAGACTTAGATCAGGCTGTTTTCTGAAATCTGTGGACTGCCAGGTATTCTAAATGTGGTCAGAATGAAGGAGATTTGGGTTGCAGAGATGGATTAATTCAGCACAAGGGGGTGCTGTTTCAGATGACTGGACCGGACAACATCTGAGGTGGTATGTGCCACCGACTGGTTGCAGCCAGTTGTAGCACATGAGTCCACAGGAAGTGACTGCAACTGCTAAGCCAGTGGCTTCCATTGGCACATGTATTCTTTCTAGCTGCAGCCAACATTCGGTTAAGGCTAACACTGGGTGGTACTCTTAATCAAGGCCTCTTTGTGTTGACACTAACAAAACTTACTCCACTAAGAGAAATGACTTTGTTAACGAAGCTCCACCCTGTGAAATGAAACATTCCATCTATCACCAAATGTATTTTTCAGGTGCAACATTCAATATTTCTTGTCAACAACGCTTGAATAATATTTCATGAAGTTACAGATGGAACATTCTATTCCCGTAGGTGAAGCTTGAGTTCGTCACTCAGAAACCTTTTAATGGTGACTTCATTGCTACAGACAGAAACCTTACTTACTTTCTTCCCCTTTCTTGAAATGTTCAAGGGCCTGTCAAAATTGAAAAAGAAAACTTCCTAATTCCTACTATCTTCATTTGCACTCAAAGAAGATATAAATAGAAAACAGTAGGTATGTCACATTATACAACACCTGCATATAAATCCCCGTCATCTGATTGGTGGATCGTTAATCACATGGCATGCATTATTTATTTCAACACACAGCATGCACACGACGTGTACACACACGCACTTTAAGTGCATGCAGAGTGGAAAAAATTTATAACAACTGTGCATTAGAAACGAATAACGAGCACCCCGGATGGATTACACTGCAGCTTGTAGTGGCGCAAGTTTCTTTATGGCAAAGTGACGAGCGATCAAGCTCCACTGTTCACAATGCTAATAATAATAAATAATTCAAATAATTATAAGAACTTGTTTTTGCAAGGAATACTGGTGATGCTAACATAAGGAAACACATAAAGAGCTGCCAAATGATTGAACAAGCTCGGAATTATGTTGACAAAATTACGGATTCACCACTGGACAACTTCCAGTTTGAATCAGTTAATTAATCCAGCTGTACTCAGAAAATCAAATGACGAGGATTTATACAGGTGTTGTACAAATCAAATAATGAATGTTTTGCATTTGTGCCATGGTAAGAATAACTGTATTCGGTGAGAGATGAAACGGTCTATTGCACTCAGCTTCGCCTCATGGAATGGACCATTTCCTCTGTCACCTCATGCAATTACTCTTACCATCGCATTCTGAAACATTCATTGTTTGTATACTGTCATTATGGGCTCCTAAAACCTGGGGCTTTTGCAATTATTATAAAAAGTACAAGGTAAAAGATCATGTAATGTATAAATCAAATCAAAATAAATTAGGTAAATGATTTTGTTGAAATGTTTACCAACTCCAAAAAAAAACCAAACCAACAAAAACACAACCCCAAAACATTTATAAATGAAAACAGTAGACAACCCTGTCTTTTCAGTTCAGCATTATCTTTTGTGTAGCTCAAGAACCAAAGTGCATGTAAGATGCTCATTCAAATCTGAATTGTAAAATTCCAAAGCAGTCGACAAACTCACTTCTTCATAGGTTGAAGTTGGCGGGGAGCCAAATATGACAGCTGCTATCTTGCGCTGGTACCAGGGCATCTCAGCAAATGTGAAACACCTACACAGACAGCAAAATGAGGGCCATCGATCAGAGACGGAAGGGTGAGATTTACACAAGGTATTGCTAACAATGTGTTACATGAGCCAAGCGGCGTGTTAAAACAACCTGGAACAGTGGTGATGTCAGTTATGTCTACTGTGTGGCTAAGGCTCAGTGTTTGCCATTGGAACACTGTGGAGAACAGCTGTAGCCATACAGAACAGTACCTATTACAAATGCGACGTGAGTTACAAGATAAAAATGCATCTCTCTTTCATTGGCTGGAGGCTGGTGAGGTATTACCATGCCCATTTTTAGAAGAATTCAAATACATTCGTTTACTGTTACAGGGGTCAAAATTGACCTTTCCTTCCTGGTAGCCAGCAGGACCAGTACTTCGCATTGCCACTGGTCCAGCTGAAAGTTCGGTGGTCCTACCAGAACCGCACACGCAATCGCATTGAGCAATCCTTGTTAGGGGGCCTACATTTACATTACATGTACATGTTGATATACAGGATAACTTCTTGCAGTCAAGACTAGGGGTGTCTACAAAACGAGTGGATAAGGCTTAGACTTCAGTTTCGCTGGTTCCAGCCATTTTGAAACAACGTTCGAAACCACATGTTCAAAGCTCTGACTGGAACCAGCAAAACCGAAGTCTAAGCTGAATCCACTCGTTTCTGAAACGCTCTAGGTTAGCACAGTGCATGGTGCACACACGTGGCCATACAACGATTTGGATCATTCTTATGTCACGCAGCTAGGTACACGCAGCACGCGAAAATCTAACTGGATCCACCGCGCTACTAATTAGGGTAATATGTACACAGATCTTTTTTCTCAGTTCTTCAATATTTTAGTAAATTTGTCAAGTACATTTTGTACTGGCCCACCAGACCAGTTTTATTAGATAAGCTGGTCCTCCGACTTTTTCTATTGGTCTTGCTCGGGCCAGCAGACCACCGTTAATTTCAACCCCTGTATCATACAGTACAGTCCAACTGTAAGTTAAACTCAAAAGTGGGAAGATTGTTCACACTTTTCCCCATCTGAGAGAATGAACATTCATTTCACAGCTTGTGAAAATTTCCCCCCCGAGTGCCAAAAATTTTCACAACTTCTTTTCACAAGTGGGAAAACTTTTCACAAGTGGGAAAAAATTCACACATTTTTCACAAATGGGAAAATGTTAACACCTTTCACCCAATTGGAAAGAAAATTAACCCCAGCCCCAACAAAATCAATTTTAAAGTGTGAAGTTCACAAGTACATGTAGCTGAACAGTTGCCAAACACATCCCCCAACCACACTTTATTTGTGTTTAATTTACAATTTTTTTAGTAAGAATTGAAAGGAACAAAGTCAGAAGAGCCATTAAATATCACCATACATGTACTTGTTATTTATCTTGGAAAAGCCGTAACAAAAACTGTGGTTAAAATAACTCATGACGTCACAGACAATATCTCAGAAGGCAGTCCGTATCTGCCTGTGTACGGCAGCACATGTAAGGGTACCACATGCGGACACCATGTTGTCTGGCCGCCGTGCATGTATGCCCGGCCATCGTCATTCAGAAAATCACGGTGCACTTCATCGCTCAGCGGTCGAATGCGCCCACATTCACAATCTAAACCTCAATCTTTCTACGGTGTTTCTGACCTATTCTTGTCAAGAATAATACATAGTTTCTTGTACATGTACCAGAAAGCCCTCTAAAATTCCACTTGAAAAAAATGCCTGTTTTTAGCAGATCAAACTTCCAGAAAACTTCACCTCTTTTCGTGGAATTTCCAATGAGGAGTTTGGGCAACTCAAACCCTATCCATTTGTGCAAAATCAATGAAAAATAGTGTGGTCCCTGGGGCTAAAATCAATTTATCGTGTGTACCGGGAGTCGGGCGACCATGTGTTTGTACACAAAAACAATCCTTGCCCACAACACGTGCACAATGGCCCATTTCGGTCCTTACACACACAGCCCAGCACACAACCACAACTCACATCTATTGAGAGTGTGTTTGCTCCGTGCCTCTGATGTCAACGTCATCTAGAATCTAATTGGCCTAGACGAGCAGGTGTTCGCACCAACATTTTCACACCTTTTTCCCATTATTTTCGCAGTTTTCGATTTATTTTTGCACACAGATTTTTCACACGGTGTGCGCAAAGTTTTCGCACAGTGCTATTTTTGCACAGTTTTTCGCCATTTTTTTTCATGCGTTTTCACACTGTTTTTGCACATTTTTGCATCAGATTCACTGCGACTTCGCAGAGGGGAAAAGCAGCAGTCAAAATGCAAAATTCACCTGCAAATGTGAATGACAAGTCTTTTCCCCTCCCCCCGTCCTTTTTCCCAGGCTCAACTTTCAATTGCACTGTACTGTATCTGACTCACCAAAGGCCCATGAGATGCCTGCTAGTCGCATCCATTGGATTCAGATCAATGGCTTTCTGCAGAAAAGATGTCCAAATATGTGTCAGAAAATATGTATTGATGCGAGTGTACTTGCAGTTATGCAAGTTTATATCTTGCTCTAGCGCCCCCTGAAGGCGGTATGAAAATAATCAGAATTCAGAGAATTATTTTTGAAAACGTAGTTCAACGTGTTAACAAAGTGAATGAAAAAAAATTGAAAATCGTTTTTCCACACTGGGGCTGACGGGTTCATATGTTGAAAAGTTTTCACAAAACTAAAGAACAAAAGGACAATGAAGGTCAGAGTTCAAAATTTCTTACACGGATGACTATGAGTTCTTACCTGGAAATGATCCCTGATAACGTATGCATTGGATATCTTCTTTTTAGTTCCTTCAAAGTCTCCAACTTCACTGATGCATATGGCAAACCACTGAAAGGAATTTAAAAAGATGTTATGTTCACCAATTTCACAGAAAGAGCTTAAGAACGGAGACATATTTCACGAAGTTGCTTTTATAGAGAAATTGTCTAAGCAAAGAAATATACCTGCCTGGGAAAATAGGTTACCGGCCACAATGCCATGTGTTATATATTGCTTGTAACTGGTTCTCTGCTGAATTCTGCCTAGCATAGAAATTTGCTAAGCAAAGAGCCAAACTATCTTACAATGTGCATCTGTTATAGCCGGTTGTCATCTCATTTTGCTTAGTCCAAGTATCTTCTAAGCAATATTTTCTGCGGCTCTTTAAAATCGCACCAGTGTTACAACTATGCACCACATTTTTCAGGCCGCATGCATTACCTTCAGGGTTTCAGCTGCGGTGGGCGGCGGCGGGTGGCACCATCCGGTACTGCAAATTTCTGCCCGGCACTCGGGGTTGAAATTGGCTGTGCCACCCAGCACGGATTTTCCAAAAAATGAACTGAAATATTACTGAAAATTTAAATGTACCAATTCGATCGTACATGTATTTCAAGCATCAGAGAGCATTAAGAACTGAATTCACTTTGCTTTGCAATCCAAAAATTTACCCAGCACTAAAATGGTCCTAGCTAGAACACTGGTTACCTTGTGTGAGGCGTAGTTCTGCTCATTGATCTCTAGGCACCGTTTGGCGTGCTCCAGCGCCTCGTAGGTCAGCTCCTTCTTCCGGGCAGCCAAGGTGCTATTCATCTGGGCCACGTCCCGGATGGCTCGGCACAACCGCCACAGCACCTCCTCATTGTTGGAATCCTTGTGCTGCAACAGGAATTCGTAGAGCTCCAGCGGCTTGCAAGCCTCATACAGACGGTCTGCCTCCTCAATGACCTCGGCATCTGTCTTGGTCTGAGTCTGGGGGTCCTTTTCGGCCATTTTCGTGGAATCCGTGGAATCTGCCCGAAACATACATTTCAGAGAACTTGCTCAGCATATTAGCTGGTCACTAAGGACTGAGGAGGATAAGAAAAAGTCAGAACACCTGCAGGGCCATGCGGACACGCTATTTTGTTGTGTAAAAGGATGTAAAAGCATTAACCCTAACCTTCCCAAATCCTCCAAAATCCTTTTCTGCAAAGTGGAGGAATTTGGAAGATTCAGGGTGCATGGCAAAAGTGCATGGCTGATTTCGAAGGATGCCATAAGTGAAGGTCATGGATTAGACCTCATCGTGTTTGTGCTTTGTCGAGCAAAAATGTAGCCTCAACATAGTGACAGGAATTGCCGGAGAATTTTGCAGGATTTGGGAAGTTAGGCACACCTCCAAATGACATTTTCAAGAAATTTTGGAGGATCTTGGGAGGATTTGGGCTGAAGGCAATTTTTTCATGTTGAAAATTGGGGGATTTTGAAGGATTCAGGATGGTTCCTAATAAAAAGGCCTCGATGGATTCACTATTTTCCAAGTCAAGGCAAATTGATGAGGGTATGCGCCAAATTATCAGATGCTGCCTGAAAACCTGTTCCAAAAATCCTCTGCTGGGCCGAAAACCAAGGCACACTTTTTGTACTGTTACACTAACTCTCAAGGAACGTCTGAACATCTCAGTAAACAATAATTGTCAAATATCACAGCACTGCTGAAGATTACTGCATCAATACAGGTACACGCTAAGGGCAATATGGTCTGCAGAACAGTTCCGCAACTCAGAACCTTACAGAATCACCCCCATCAAAGGACCACTGCCACACATGACTTTTAGCCGTTTCCTCAACAACAATATTTGACAGCATAGCCAGACTAAAGCAAAAATATGATAAACAAGTAACTAAAACCAATCCACCGTATTATTCATGCTTAGATGATTTCATGCTGGTAATACCTTTTCAAGTGAACCTTTCATTAACATTTCAACTAAGATACTGCTCTGCTGTTCTTGTTGACCTTCACTGTTTCCCCTCAATCCATGATGCAGATCTGACCTTCGTTTTATCATTGAGGTCACTCCAAACAGTGAACACTTGCAACAGAATGAGCCCAGACATGCGAGGTCAACAAGTGGAATTTAAATCATGAACATCAAGACATAAGAGATAACCTGAATGGTTGAAATTTAAAAAGGGTCTGCAGTTGTCTGATAAATCTCCTTTGAGTATTACCCCTAACACTCCTCAGTCCTACAACAGGTGAAGGATTGAGGAGTGTTAGGGTTAAGGTGGGTGTTTTTCATTCATTAACTCTACTTATCATGATTAATTTGCCTTCTGGAGACCATAAAAAATGACATGTGAAGTTTTAGCATGGAGTACCTGTACAGTGCATTATAATACCAAATGGCTCTCCAATGGCTGCATTGATAAAACATTTGAAAAATTGTTAGCTGTCTCCTTTTTCTGATGTCTGTTGGATTCTTCTTTCTCATTCAAGAAGAAGTCAACATCAGTGTCAGACTTCAATCCAATAGGTCCAATGGTTCATTCCGCTGCAACGCATGTACATGTACATTGTACCTCCAGCAAGGTTTCATATGAGGGTACCAGCATTATATGTGAGACAGCATCTGGCTGGTAGATAAGGAAAGTCTTGAATGGCAATATGCACATACTTACAGAGAGTATATTAGTGACTATGGTAAGCGTGCAGTCAATTGATGTATTGCGATAATGGTACATATGCATGCATGCAACCCCAACTGAGCCCTTTATGACCACATCATTTAAAGCTATGAATGGCATAACAACATATAATCCATAGCATTACAGAATGAATATTTCTGGGGTTTTTTGGGGGGTGGGATGGTTATTTTTCCCAGAAACAATCTTATTTATAATATTCTAGCTACTGCATGGGAATACTGCTGGAGCCTACAGAATCACACGCTGTAAAGTCTACTCTATCCAAATGAATCAACCAAGCGCGGCAGGAATTGTTCAAAGTTCAGAATTTTGGCAATGAAGCTTAACGGTTAGTAGTACACCTGCTGCACTGCACTCAAGCTCAAGTACCTGACTGGTTGCTTGACCAGAATGCTACACCTCTTGACGCTACGAGTGATGTCGTGATGAAGGTGCCAACTCTCAGTCTCCTGGCAGTGGTGGAAAATGGCACACGTTGGGAATGCTGCAAAACAATCGTTAAAAATCGAGCTGACTGGATCATGCAATTGCATTTCAAACACAAAACAGGTCAAATATCTACACCGCTGACCTACACACGAGCTTGTATGAGGATAAAATCTTACGTTAACTTCAGTCATTTCACACATTTATGGGGAAATATACACATACTTCCTGGATGCCTGTAAAGCACGTCATATACAAAGGATATTAAAAGGACAACTCGTTTATATAAGTAGGTTTGTGCATTGTCAGAGTGTATTCAGATACACTGTACAGTCTGCATACAGCATAAATGCAGCAGATTCTGAAACTTGTGCCACTTCCTCTAGCCACCTTAACCCCTTAGCAATAGAACGATATTCAACAGAGGTACAAGAGATATTATATCTTTGACGTACATGTATAAGTCAATGAGTAAATGTTGAACCAGTCTTTATCTAAGATATTCTCAAATACGTACTGCATCATATACATACCTGTGGCTTGAATAATTCTACTCAACTCCAGCAATTATACTTTGTAATAATGCCACACCCAACATTTGTTACAGCGCACACGCCTCCGGTATACCAATATCATATGCTAGGGAACAGCATACAACACACACACAGTCTGTTCTGTACCAAAGCAGTCATTCATGGTTGCCAAATAACCCATCTAGGCTGGGTTACAAAGGTCAAAGTATACAGTTCACTGTACATGCTGCACGTGTCCTATGACAGGCCTGGATGTACATGTATGTATTTATGAGAAGGAATTACACTCAGTGTAAAGAAGCCATGCATTATGCCTTTGTTTATAGCATAACAGCTGTATTTTCTGCATGTACCCTGCATAATGCCAGTACACATTTGAGAAAGAGTTCCGTATGTGGACAACACTTATTTTTCCTTAAAATATTATAACAGCCGCACCCACACGAAAGTAATAAAATGTCCTAAAAAGTGAAATTTACCTCAAAAAATTCCCAAGCATTTACTCAAAAAAAGACTTACATGACTTAGGTTTATTTCAGGCAAGTCTGAAAGGTTTGTGCACAGAGGTATCAAGTGTTGTCCATCTATCAAGTGTATAAAACTCTTTTCCATTTTTATACCATGACAGTGCTTGAAAATTGAAAAAAAAATTAAAACTAGTGACATGCCCCAATGAAGATTTTGGAGGGGGCTACAATGTAATATGTGAAATTGGCACATTGTCCACAATTCTGAATTTTAGTGATAAACGTCAAGACTAATAAGTGTTACAGCACATATTAAACTTGGAAACATATGGGAATTAGTGCACTAGACAGTCAACAAGCTGGAATCGGCAAGATACGAAAAACAAAATGGCCTAACGTTAGGCACGATGTTAGGCCTGCGCTGACTGATAAGTAACAATAACAAGAAAGTAAACTTTCAAACCGATAAGCCTATATATATTTGCCAAATATTATTTGGCAAATCCTTACTTTTACTGTTTGTTTCACTAAATTTTTAAAAGGTCTGGGCGACACTTGAGGCCCTGTGCGCATGAGACCTGTATGAAAAAACCTAGCCTGAGTGTTTTCTAAGTAGGCCTAAATGCTTTGGAATTTTCTTAGCTAAATTTCACTTTGTAGGACATGTTTTAAATTTCTGACCACTAATATTATATTTCAAGGGAAAATCAGTGTTGTTCGTATGTGGAACCTTTTCCCGAAATCAGTTCATACGGGTAGTAGGCCTGCACATTTTCAGCAAATCATGCACTTGGCAGGGGTTTGTCAGCATTGATGACATTGTTAGCAGGCCTATTACAAGGGCCTAATAACATTGGGTCTAGGCCATGTAGGCCTGTTACGCCATTCATTACCATTAGCACACTGTTCCTATAATAAGGAAACAAAGTCCACTTTCTCAAACTAACTAACATTTTGACCTTAAGAAACCATTACTCAATCCTGATAGACCTAGTTTAGGTAAATTTTGACAATATTTAAGCAAGAAAACTTCCAATTTCTAACCCGCGTTTGGCAAAAGACAACCACTCAGTCGAATGATGCCATTTGTTTTTCGTCTGGTTATCCGAATCAGGCTTTTTGGATTCATCAAACCGATCTCCATCCAGGTCAAGGAACCACACAACATTCGCTTTATATTCGTCATTCACAGCTCTCTTCAGGATGGTCATTTACGCTACTGTTTTACACAAAAATTTCTCTCAAAAACCAAAAGCCCTATTTTTTTTCTTTCTGATATGAAAAAGGACATCACCAACAACTTGGTAAGTTATTTTGAAAAAGTAAAATTTGTTCCCTAATAATGGGAACAGGGTGCTAAAGGTAATGAACCCCCTATAATTGGGCCCATCCCAACAACAGTGCTAACTGCTATAGTTAGGCCGGCCAACTTCAGCACAGAGGTCCAGTGTGCATGTGCCCAGCATCACATGTGCCAGTCATTTTGATTACAATTTTCATGTCATAGACGAAGTGTCATTGTTTAGATGAATTGTTGTGTCAAGTATGAGATGCATAAACTTGGATAAGGTCGAGCAATTTTCTACAGAAATTGGTCAACAATACTTGGGCCAGCCCAACTGTAGTAGTAACACTTAGGTACTAGTAACTAGTCAGTAGTATGAAATATTATCGATATACAGTTGGGATTGTCCCTGCGAGGTGAGGCGTACCTGGCCTACTGGCGAAGGATTGAGGTGATTTTTCATTTTAATACAAATGTACACACCTTACAAATAAAACTCCGCAACCTAGTTACCCGACTTCCTGTTGGCACAGCGTGTCTTCCTACAAATGCAGCGAAAATGTGTTGCGCTGAAGTCAAGAATCTACGACCAGCAGCCGCCATATTTTGATTATGTTACGGTGACAAAAAAAACCGCCCCTACCAGCAGTGTGAGCTCAGCGGACAGCCAGTCGAGTTGAAGCGCACCCTGCCGCACCGGCAAAGTGGTACGGAAGCGTATTTAGGACATAGTTATTAGAGAGAGAAAAAAAAATAAAATAAAAACTTGCCCGGGGTGCATCGGATTCCAGCATCCAAACGGTCCGTGTACATTTGGTTCATTCGTTTTTCGATTTTAAATATGAAAATCAAAAAAATCGTTTATCATAATTCGATTTAAAAATGTGGGAAAACGGAAAAACAAGTAGTTTCTCGTCTTTCAATGTGAAAATAAATAACATTGTAATCCATTGAGTATTGATCCACAAGTTCAAAGAATGAAAAACAGTTCCATTCTCAAGTTCCATTCTCATTTTGTAATGCAAGAAACGTCTTTATAACCCACCAAATCAGACGTGACTGAACTAGAGGAAATTTTCATTTTTAAATGGAAAAATAGAAAATGACTGATCATGTAATGTATGTTCTGTGGTGAATAGTAATCCTTTGACGTGGTGACCTTCAACTTTCACTTAACTTTCCTCATACAGCGTTGCCAAACCCCATTGAAAAATTTCAAACTCATTTGCTACAACAACCTTAACCCCCTCCCCCACATTACCACTTTTGGAAGGGCCAATGTACATTTCTCAAGACAAGAAGACAGCACAATAAAAGAGGCAAAAGACAACGGATATCAACAGAATGGGCTATTCTAGTATATTTTTTATTATTTACTGAAGAAAAAGGCAGCGTAACCGTGGTAACACCTTTGTCTACAGCGACATACATCTGTAATAATTCAAATCTCACAGTCAATGGAAAAATGGGTTTTGTCTGAATACTCCGTTAAATATCAATAGCGCTGTGCTGGTATTTTCTTTAAATTTCCTTTTACTCTTTTCTAATTGTAATATAATATTATACAAGATGGTCGACAGGCACGTGCACCCATCACACAGACATGAAATGACACAAAAAAGACATGAGTTGGTTCCCCCAACAATTACCAGTTGTGCACAGGTATTACCAGCTATGAACACAAGGTGTGACAACACTTTGTATATGTATACATGTATAAGAGTCTAAAAGTTGTTGGCAGAGTGTTTATTCTTCCAACAAGAGGGCAGGTTCAAGTTGAATAAGCTGCTCTACCTCCCGATGCTGATTTTGCTGATGCACAGCCTCTGGTTAAGATGTGGGCAAAAACTGTTTACATTGACTAGCAATGACTTTACCCTCTTTGATTGTTGTATGAATGATTTGCTTGATGGATTGTGGTTATGAAGATGACTACTCCCTCCCCCAACAAAAGTGCAGTGCTGGCAGTCCCCAATCAAGCTTGCCTGAAACAGATCTGGCAGAAAGTACTAATGGAACTGATCGCAAATTATGGAAATGGAACATAAAAGGACAGTTTGTAGCCCTTCCAGTGTGAAATATTCAATCACACCCACGGGCTTTTCTTTCCGATGGCTTTCTGAGCATTGTCACACTTGCTGTTTACACACAAATGTAGAAATGTCAGTCAATCCTGTGACTTTTGTCAATTTTTCCCATGTCTGTTAATTTTTAACTTGCACATTACACAAGGTATGCAGTAAACACTCTCTTCAACTTAACGTCTGCAGTCCGCACCACACTGTATTGTACACCCTGCCATTTTGTAGGTCTTTGTGCACCACAAAATCAGCAACTTTCCAAACGAGTGTAGTAACAAATAGATACCCGAATCCACATACAAGTGGTTATAAGAAAGAACCGATAGACTGCTCCATCTAAATAAATCAACACTAAAACAAACTACAGCAAGCTTTTTATCTAGGTACTAGCAAGGTTACCTGTGCACAACTGCATTGTATAAAAACGACCCAACTTTTTTTTTTCTTTTTTTTTTCTTTTTTTAAACCTTAGTTTTTATTGACAAAAGCACTGCACATGTGCATATTAGAAAGTCCACTCACACATTTGACTACAAGATTTATATTATTAAATATTTATATATAAATTGTATGGGCAGCTAGTGCTATCATAGCTACTCAGGAAAAATACCTTAAAAAAAATAAAACAAAAATAAAACAAAACAAAAACCCACAGCTGCAGCAAGAGAGAAGTTAACAACACTTACATTGTGAGGATTATCGTTTCTTTTTTCCCTAAAGTACGTCTATTTTTTTTAACTTAAGTTTTGTTTTATTGCTTATACCTATAACGTTAATGGTTGATATTTGTGTGTAGGGGTTGCAGTTTGTTGGCAGAAATCACGTCTAGTTTGAAATAAAGTGACAGAGAAAATGCATGAATCAAGACAGGAGGCAAACTGTGGTGTGTACAACTTGCTGAAGGCCAGTCAGAGGAAACACACAGAGAGCTATTGTAATAAGAAATAAGAACAACTGGGTGTAGTTGGCACTGGGCACAGAAAAGGGTAAAGGCAAACATGTACAGAGAGAGAAACACACACAAAGGAGCAGAAAGCACAGAATGACCTTTGGGAGAACCAAAACCACACACATCAGGTCAATCACAGTAGGTAGACTGATAGACAGACAAAAAAAGAGATCATGATCGCAAATGAAAGAAAGCTGCATGGTGTGAACAGACTAAGCGAGCTGATGTAAAAATGGACAAAGACAGACGCTAGAATGGGAAACGTGGACGGGAACAAAATCAGACATGTGACAGGAGAGACACAGAGAAAAGAACAGATGAACAGTTGGAAAGGCAAAGTTCTTTTGATGAGAGTGTATCGACCACTGGACAGTTCGGCCCAATAACATGTACGTAAAATATGTAAGGAGAAAATCAATGGCTGGTTGGTTGACAGAGGGTCACTGATCAAACATGGCCCAAGATGAGAACGAATTGGAGTTGCCATCAAAAGTACAAGGTTTAGGAAGCCTCCGGAATTTGCCAGCACTCACATCTCTATATCCATCCTTCTGGTACTGCAGTGCGGTGAAGACTTCGGGTTTCTGTAGTGCTTGATAACAAATGCTACATAGTTCACTGTGATGACAGATTGTGCGTTGCATCCTGGTGAACTAAGTGGTTGTGCAAACCTAAGTGATTGTGTTTCCTAACAATGTAGAACTGGGTGAAAACTAACAAAACACAAGAGTTCTAAAGTTTGCAGCTGCGCAAGTCATGCAACAATTGAACAGAGTGATGTAGTTCTTCCGGTGCATATTTGGAAAAAAAAAAGACTTGAAATAATGCTGGAAAAATCTGCAGTACTCTCCCCACTTTCTTCTTCTACAAACAAAAAATTATTTGCCATAGTTTGATTTCGATTCTAATTGGTCCCGGGTTTTCTTTTTTTTTTTTTTTTACAAAAGAGGGTTTGCAAAACCACACAACACCTGAGGTTGAGCTCAGTTTTTGAGAAGTGAAGCTTGCTCTTGGCCATGCTCTTAGGGTCTTTGAAAAACAGAGGTTTTGACAAAGAGGATATTCCCTCTGCCTGTTCAGTATTCCCGTGTTTATGCATAATGAATAATCAGCGAGCGGTTTTTCCAGTAAAACAATGCCCCAAGACAGACTTCTGTCCCTGCCAGGCTGCAGCTTGAGCTATTTTGTGCTCATAAAGTCCTGCAGAACTACAAGTGAGGCAGAGCACACATGAAACAGCAGCAGGGATCCTCCAATCTGCCACAGTATTAGATCAAGAGAGTTCTGTTCCAGCTGTTACGGTCACAAAGCTTCACTGCGCCCAGTGCACACTGCCCGAGAAGGTAAACTGTTGGAGACAAGACCAGCGCAATGCTTCTCAAACACCACACGCCAACTCAAGGTTTTGTTATACACCCTATAAATATTAACAAAGAACTGCAGAGAATCAGGTTAACACAATCTACAAAAACCATTTCCCCATCAATGGACATTCTGGTCAAATCTCCTGCAAATTCTATCAACTGCAGGCAGGGTTTTCTGTTTCTGGCATCATGCTGATAAAAACTGGGCACCGTCTTCTCAGAGGGACCGAAGGAAAAAATACCACAGGGCTGCAAGCCACAACTCTCATCTGCTTGACCGAAAAACAGTTTTCCCAAGTTTCTTGACAAAACACGCAGATGACGCATCAAAAGATGGACTAGAACACATACCATGTGGCAGTGGTGCTCCCTTTGTTTTCAAATTAACAAAATAAAAACAAAATAATAAATAAAAATGAGAGAAAAACCAAACAAAACCCCCAAACTGATGGCCCCAAAATGTACAACCCCAAAACAGACAGATCAGCTATGATTTTTTAAAGAGTTAAACACTAGTTCTTAACTTCATTTTAGTATGTACACAGGAGTTCATCTCATTCTCTAACACTTCTCCCAAGTAATGGGGAGAGATTCTCTATATAATAAATAACAATAATCACATGGGGGGTGAACTGTACCAAGAAATGCTTAGGGATGTGTTCATGGAACACAGTCAGAAGCTTTTAACTGTTGATGACTGTCCCCGAAGCCAAAAACCAGTTGCTAACCCGTTTGTACAAAAAAAAAGGCAAAGGGAGGGGGAGCCTGGCTTCATTACCTGGATATCATTTGTTACAAGCTATTTTTTTTCCTGACAGAGTGGTTTTGAAATTTCCCAACGAAAATGAGCTGAGCTGGGGTGCAGGGAGGGAGACGCCAATTGATGGGATGTACACAAAATGGAAAAGTCCCATTTTTAGTCCCCTCACTGATTTGTTTGGAGGGGCTACTTCTTGTCTATGCACTGTATGTACAACTTGCATGTTAGTGTCAGGTTTCTTTAAACAAATTCACACAATCACTATATAAACCACATCTAGTCATATTACATCATGATGACTATCAACAGTGCAGTCCTTCATTCCCACCGACTCAGGAGAGGGGTTAAAAAGACACAAAACCCCCCAAACACACACAAAAGAGACAGTGAATTTGCATGACGGCTTGACTATATAATATGTACATTTCCTAAAATAAAAAATAAATAAAAATTTGTACTTCATTTAGGTGTCTGTCAAACCCCATTCCCGTCACTACCACAATGGTACCATAATTACATCAACGCTCTCCTGACATTTTTTTTAAAACTCTTAATTTGAAAAAAACCAACAAACTTTGTTTCATTTCATGACTGCAACTAGCAATGCCACTCCTTGGACTGACGTTTCACGATCCCTCTCTGAAATGATTGCCTTGAATGTGATTCTATAAGCTTGTTCTCGGTGCTTCCTGGGGAAAAAGTCAACGATAATTTCAATAGACTTTTCTGGATTTCACGACTCGGTGACCACATCTTTTCTCTCTCTCTCTTTTTTTTTCCCCAAAGTGGTAACGGAAATGCTTTCCTTGATTTAAGGAGGGTGTGGTTAGTGTAGGGATCAGTATTATTTGATCAGGCAATGTTAATGGCATGAGCTCTGCTGTTGGCAACACTCATCTGTCGCAAAGTTTGCGTGCAGAGACACAACGCCGAGATTTGACAAGTTTTCTTGCTTAGGCTCAATCCAATGCCACCAATGAGAGAAAACTTGTCATGAGCTTGTACATGTACATGCAGAGCTGCTTCTTGGAGAAGGAAACTTATTGCGAAAAAAAGAGAAAAGAAAAAACCATGCAACATGCACAGCCATGCAAGTTCAGTGGATTTTGGAGACCATTCTTCACTTACCATTGACAAAATCAAATGGCTGGTCGACAATGCAAACTTTCAGCGAGTAATCTTACATGCAAGATTGTAAAAAGCAACAAAACACACCCTGCCAACAGGGACAGGGCTTGGGGTAAAATTTCTCTCTCTTTTTTATACAAAAAGATGCCAAAAAGCAAAAGTATTGGTGACTGGTGTCAATGAAGAAGAGAGAAAAAAAAATGAAAAGCAAAATTACCAGAATACCAACAATTACATTTTGAGTACACTGCAAACCACATGCTGCTTCAAGCTACGGTAACAGTTCTTTAAACCTTCCAAATATTTACGAGAAACCTTGGCAAAAAAAAATGACTTTCCTTGAACCGTTTCATTTTTTTTTCCTAGTTAGTATCTCACACTTTATCCCTCCCCCACTTTAGCGACTTTAGCAGATAAGATGGTGAACACCAAGCAGATGTTACCATGCAGCACTTGTACTACAGTGATTGGCATTAAAAAAAATTAAGACTTGCCAAGACCTCGGTGTCGCCAAAACTTGGCTTCGAGTGGCTTTTTTCCCTGTGACAAAAGTTGACAAGTGTTAGCAGCAAGTATCTGATGAAGCTCCTGCCTGGTTTGTGCAGTAACAAGATTTGGCATTTGAAAAAGCAAGTATTGCTAATACTTTCCATGTAAAGTCACCCCACGTGGTTCATCCTCAATTGTGTATTTGGAGTTTGACAGACCTTTTTTTTGGTTATTTCTTTCATTTTTCATTCCCCCTTCTTTTTTCGTTTCATTTTTCACAATTTCATTTTTCCCCTTCAGCTCCAAGTAACTTAAGAATTTCTTAGGATATGTACAGTCATGCATGCAACAAATAAATACGAGCCGTAGTCTACATCAGCTCATTGTCCATGACAAACCACTCTTGCCTGCATTCATCTCTTTAATTAATTTAAACTGTAAAATCACATTGCAACATTTTCATTATTTTTTTTTGTGTGTGTGTTTTGTTTAAATATCAGTTTTCACACTTTTTCTTTAAAATTTATTCTTCTTTCGTAGTTACGTGAAAACCAGTCTGGGCATGGTGACTGGTGGCTGTTCCGAGTATAAGACTTGGGTTGTTTGTTCTTGTTCTTTTTTTTTTACAATTAAAAAAAAAAAAACCTCAAAATGAAGAATGTCAGCAGAACTAGCTGTATGCACTCAGCAGTCTCACCAAACTCCCCCAAAAGTGAAGCCTACAAGATCAATCGCACCCCCATTCCTCTCTTGGCTCCATCATCTTTTCGTTCTTCGTGTTTATTTGTTCCTGGTTTTGGATTTTTTTTTTTTTTTACGGCTGGCTGTTGACACACCCTAGGGAGGGGGCTGTCGTCAGCGCTGACGCAGCAAGAGGGAAGGAGAGGGGATGTTCTCCGGGTCAAACCGAGATGCGGGGAGGGGAGAGGAGGAGAAGGGAATTCTGGGAGGGCTGTTGTCACAGCAACTCGTATTGTCTGAGGTGCATCCGTTGGATTATATCCCGACAGTCGTTGAAGACCCGCCTGATGTTTTCCGTGTCCACTGCACACGTGAAGTGGGGATAGCAGTAATGTCTGCCATCGCCGCTCGCTGTGCTGATACGCTAAAACAAAGAAGATGGGAAGGGGAAAAAAGTGATGTTCCAGGATAGAATGTATTTGACAGTGACATATGTGCAGTGGTCTGGAAAATCCTTCACATGGTGAAATTTATTTTATACACATCATCCTAACTAGGACACTCATTATCATTCTAGGTTGTCTATAACTTGAGTTATGCTCTTGAGAAGTTAGGCAAACCAGCTGACCTCATTTTGAGAAGTTCTGAGTAAAAATTTCATTGAGATTATACGTAAAGTTGTAATTGCATCCAACGATTATTTGGACATTAACCACTTGCCACCAGGGATTCTGGTTTTGGACACGTATTTTTTTTCGGGGTCTCCGAAATCGGACAAAGGGAACTGGGCCTTCTAACAAAAGACCGTACTCGTAACAAAAGACCAGGCTGCCGGGAATTACCAACATTTTTTCACTCTCAATGGTGAAGATAATATAGCCTTGTTTTGAAGCTGTACACCATGGTTTGGGGCATTCAGTGCGAACAGATTACCAACGGGGACAAAAGCCCTCCACCACTGCAGCAATGAGCCACACAGTACCGCTGCACGCTAATCTAGCCCCTATTGAAAAGAGGTCAGCAGTGCACTGTGCCAGTTTTGTGGACAAAAGAAAATTACGGAACACCAGAAAATCTGGGCTCTTTTTACAAGGTGGCTGGCCTAGAAATGAAGATATGAATTTTGAATGAATTTTGAAAATAGAAAAAAATGATAACTATCCCGTCCAAGTATCATCAACACTGATAAATGCCACTGGCACGAAGTGGTTAACAACCCAAATGGTAAAAGAAATCTCAGGAGGTCAAAAACAAATATAAAGATTGTTTGCCATTATCTCCAAAACAACTAATCTCCAAGTTCACCTCCATCCTTTTGGTGCTCCCTGATCGGACCACACAATTATGTCCAATGCTGGGGGAGAAAATATGTAGTTTTCACAAAGCAGAGCTGTTTTTTTACACGGACGTGTCTGCCTTTGGTTAAAACAGTGATGAACTATGCTATTTACCAGGACATCTCGAAATGTGGAAGAACATGATCCTGAATGGGAGTAACAGCCTATTGTGTTGCACATTTTATACCTTGGAACAATTTGCAAAGAGTACAGTACATTACAAACAGAAACACAGTGTTCCCTGGAGAGGTATTTCTAGTGGGAACAGGAATTTTCCAACTTGAAACACTTCCTGAGCTATTTGAGGACTATCAGTGAAATGAAAAACAAACAAAAAACTAAATTGAAAAAAAAGGGTTTAATTTCACTGTGGTGTTTCAATGGTGAAAGCTTTCTTTTTTTTACACTGGGGAGCAGTTCAATGTGTTGTGCAATCAGGTGGTTACCTCGAGTTTCAAACGGGGATGAGGGAGCCCCTCTCTAACAGGGGGTGGGCCATATGATATAACAGGATTTATGATTTCATGAAATGAAAAGCTAAAGGAAAGAGTTCCTCCAACATGCACATTGTTTGCAGCCACTTGAATGTCCAGCAGCAACCTCTCGGTTTATGACAAACCAGAACGGTGAGGGTTACACATGGTCCGTTTTTCAAATTGGCTACTTACAAGGAATTCGTCCCGAATGAAGAACTTGGCCTTCACCACACACTCATCCTCACCCGGCTCAATTTGTGCTGAAGAAATAAGCACAGCAAATAATGAGAATTAAAAGATATTTAGCATTCCTACCAAGGTCATGGCCGCTTGTTTTCCATTTCAGAATAAGACAGCTTTACATCAGTGAAGTGAAATAAAAGATCTTTCTTTTTTCTTTCAGAAGCACGGATCAGAACTTGTAAACTCTTAAGACCTTATCGAGAGCAGGAAGAGAACATCAGAACAATGAATTCAAGTGAGCATGCAGGCAAAGCACAACAACATTGGATGTGGCACTGGCCAGCCCAGGCTCGCCGCTGAGACCCTGGTGCCAGTGAGTGCATTCCTGTACACAGTGAGAGAGTCAACACTGACAAAATCACTTCCAAACTTTCCCTGCATTTTGTTGCAAGAAGGAGCCCTCTTCCCCTCCCCCCCTTGACTGAGCCTTTGACTTCTGACATTTCTGCCTGCAGACTCAGAGGTACCATTCATCTTTCCTGTTGAGAGTTGAGAACAAAAAGTCTTCCAGTCCTTCCGCATAAATGGCAAGACTTCCCAGAGGCCCCGAGTGCCAGGACATTTCCGTGAGTTCACTATTTGCACGACCTTTCTTGGAAGTCTGTTAAAAAATTGTTCAGACTCAGCATCTGGGTGAATGACGATATCTAAATAACTCTTCAGTGACAACTTGACAGCGTGAATTTTCCAAGAGGAAATTGTCGTATCAGGTCTCCTCGAGCAAAGGGAAGAGGAAGGGGATCAAGAACTACAGCACAGTGACAACAACTACACGGTACACTCCGTCTACTGTTTCAAGCATGCATTTCATTCTGACAGCAAGATGAAAGGATTTACCAGGGTTAACTGTGTTATATTTCCCCCAACAATGAAGCCAAGGACAGACGCCAAAGGAAGAAAACAAAAACTGGTGTCAGTACACGATAATCTAATGACCGGCCAGCCATGGGAAGGTACGCATGCTAACTTTGCCGCTCACATCCACATTTTGAACCTTTGTAGGCCTTGGCATGTGGTACCCAGTTTCATTTTATGGGGGAATCCAAGCCAAAAAAATAATGAACTGGTAGAAGATACCGCAAAAATATATCATGCAGCTTATAAAATGGGCCCCCCCCCAAAAAAAAGTTGGGCGGGGACCAAAAACATTGTGAGGACTGCAAAAAGTCCCTAGAACTTGGTTCTCATTTGCCTAACAAGAGAAAACTTTCCAACAGCACAGTGAGGGCCTACCCATGTTCACAGGTCCTTCAGAAGATGTCTGAAGTCACCAGAAGTGTGGACTAGTCTTCTGTTTGCCTGAGCCTTTTGTGACCGACCACTTTGTAACATTATTTTGCTCAGCAGGAAGCTATGCATGCAATTAGCTTTTTTTTTTTATTCAAGGGACCCATCTGAACATAAATATTTCGGCACTATCTTTGGGAAATAACACCTGACAGGACAGACCTTCTCAAAACTACATATAGATATTTTAATGGCAGTCACATGGTGTGAGTTGTATGGTTCTGGAGAAGAGCTGGTTACATCAATATTTTGAGCAGTTTGTTGACCTTCTGTAGATGAACAGGGCTCATTGTTGGAAACAATGAGCCCTGTTCGTCAGCCACGTTGGGGAGTCAGGTTGGCAAGGGAGTTCTTTCCTCGCCTTCCACCTCTGTGAGTCCAGGGTTCGATTCCCGGCCCAGTCCACGTGGATTGGGTTTCAGGCCCTACCTGACTCTGTGGGTTTTACTAGGCAGTCACATGGTGGCAGTCACATTTACTTTACAGAATATTCCTCTGGGGTTTTCCTCCCACCTCTAAAACTGTAACTGCTTCTTACTGTCTCCCTTTACTGATGTTGGTGAATGTGGGTCGTTTGGTGGCTGCCCGAAGTGCCCTTGTATGCCATCGGCTCAACCATGTTTTAAATGTATTCACTGTTCCAAGCTTAATGTCTTTATTGTACAGCGCATTTGAACATATCTATATGAAATTTGCACTTTATAAATGAATAAATTATTATTATTATTATAACAAAGAATGGAATCATTCTCTCAGAACCACACTGTGAACAGAAAACTCACTCACAAAAGACGTCTCCACCATGCAAAATCCTCAGGTCTTCTTTTCTCCCTCAAAAAAAAATGCTGACGTGAGGAAATAGTTTTTAAAAAAAAAATTTATCAGTTTTTATTGCATGCAACCTCACCATCTGGGGGTATGGTGTAGTGCTCGAATTCACTGAAGTAGTCCTCGATCTTTGAACGACCCGCTTTGACTTTCTCTGCCAGCAGGTCTTGCTTGTTGAGGAACAAGATGACTGAGATTGTCCGCAGCCACCTGGAGGGATAAGAAACAGGATGGTAGACAAGGGAGCAAACAGGATGGGGAAAGGGAAGGGAAGTCGGTAAATGAGTTAGAAGAAAAACTGGAACACATAATACAGTAAAAAGTGTCTTCATTTACTTATCTATAGGTCAGTATTGACATTTTAACAACTTGATAATTCATTGATGAGTCTTTAGCAAGACAGATCAAGTCAGTTATTGATGAAGGGAAGTGAACAAACCTTCCGACGGTTCATTTCTCCCTTGCCAAGATTGCAAAAATATTACAGCAGTTTCGTTCCATTATAGGCAGAAGACTCCAAAGCACAGAAACGTTCATTCAAACTGGATTTTCAAGTATTAATTTTGCCTAATATTTGTCCTCTGGAGTGGCAGCAACAATCGAAAAACCAACTGCATTTAAATATGTCCAATGAATAATACAAACACTTTTACAAGCAATACAGTTAGTGTGGTTGAGGCGAATAGCTGCAAAGATTTTTATACGGTGCAGATTCCATGCCAGTAACTATCGATCTGTCACCTGAAAGACTGTGGCAAGTCCATTTTGCTGCGTGGTGAGTGGGAAATCCCTCTGGTGCTTTACACAGGAACCTGCTGTTTGTACATGTACAAGTTATAGATAACGTACAACTACTAACAGCAGATGACACAAGAATTTGTTCTTGTGCGCTGCCAATTCCCAATGAACGTATAAAGATCTACTTGAATGATATGAAATCTAACAAGATGTTCAACAATGAAGCCAAGCCTGACAACAGCACTGGAGTAGCAGTTGACTAATTTTCCAACCACATTAACGACAGCAGAAACCATACTTCCAATGTGCCAAGCCTCTTCACAAAGGAGGAAAATGTGCTCTGGTGGTATTGAACACCCTACGGCACTGAAAAACTGGTATTGCTCGGCAGAAACAAGGATCAGTTGACAGCCAGACACAGGCAGTGTCCTGTCTAGCCATCTGTCCTGAAGACAGACAAAACAAATTTGGACAAGCAATGTGTTGCTGGTTCAAAATTTGAAATCCCACTTTTACCCTAATCTTTAACACTTGTGAAGAAGTCTTCACATTTCCATCTACAACACTGGGTGCGGTGGATACATATGGCCTCGCATAGCACCAAGGGGTATCAAGTTTCAAAAAAAACTTCCTGGGAGAGGACAGAGGACAGTTTTACCCTTGGCTGGAAAGGGACAGGAAGATATTTCAGCCCGAGATGAAGCAATGGACACAGCAAATGCAAACAGCATGACTTCTTGGCTGGCAATCCCTTGCTGCTTAGCAAAAGTTTCGAATGCTTAGGTAATTCCTGAATGGTGACCACGACGCCCTCATAATTTGTAAGAAATTGTAATGCATATCAGTCGGTTCGGATGGCAAGCGCATTTCCCATGTTTGATGACTTCCTCTACGTTGGGAGAAGTGGATTACCCTGTTCAGCCTGTCTAGTGCCCTATACCCAATATCGCAGTGGCAGAACAGGTGAATATCCTCTAAGATGGCAGCCAAGCACAGTGTCTGCACGCACATCCCAAATGCTGACAAATGGATAATTCCGTATTTACCGGTGGCAACCGTGAAGAATGGCGAACCACACTGGCTGGCAGTTAGGTACACAATGCTCGCAATTACAAGGCTGTGCCATATTTACCCACTGACAGGCACAATGACAAATGATCCTGCCATATTTCTGCCAGGAGATCTGTCCACAGGAGGCTAACTGTGAAATTTGTGAAAGGGGAAGGCTATGGTGTCCAAGACTGAAATTACCGCAATGGCATGGCATGCTGAGCACCAAGTTTCTACCCAGGAAACAATGATGGCTTGGAGCTGAGAACCAGTCACAAAAAGTAAAACAGTCCAAACTGGAAACTGGACTGGCAACTTTTACAAGCCCGACTGCATCTCGGTACAAGTTGGAGCGGCAGCCATTTGTCAACCACTGGTCCATTTTACCTGGTTGCCAAGATGCATTTTTTGCACACGTTAGCAGGGAAAATTGGCCAGTGGTTAACAAATGGTCGACACTCGAACCTGCTTCCTGCTGAGCAACTTTATGCAATTTTTAAATAAATTCCAGAGCCTCACTCCCTCTTGGTTATGTGCTAGCTTTCCCTACAACCCAGCTAGAGTTGGATGGAAGATGCTGACTAATGAACAGACTCATCGATGACAATGACTGGGCAATCTCACCCTGGGCCTCTGCATATAAAGAGCTTGGCAAACAATCCCCTCTGCTGTGCCATAACTGCACCCCTGGTGGACCCATGGAAAGGGACCACGGGCAACTCTGTTTGGAGACGGGTCAAAAACTACGGTTCTCTGTGCGTAGGATTTTTGGAGCTGTTGCCTATAAATTTTGCAGAAAGGATAGGACTGAGACCAGTCTAATAACGCTTATCAGTCAGAGCAGAGTATGGTGCATAAATGTTTCTTCTAGTGCCTTTACAAAACAAAAAATACTGCAATAAACCAAACAATACACTGAAAGCTCACTTTTTATGATAATTTCAGCAAATGTGGCAAAGGGAAATGTGAGAACATGAAGAATTTCTGTCTCTGGGATTATGTACTTCACACATAAACCACTGACTTAGAAGTTCTGCCAGCATGACAACTGCCTTCTAGTTGAGTTGACATCTCTCTTCCTTTAAACAAGTGCCGTCAGATTAAACTGAAATGTTGCCAAGATCTGCCCGGGGGAGAAAGCCACTGCCCACAACATGCAGCTGAGGACCCCCTTGGCTTTTCCATTCTATCCCCGCTGTCCAAAAACTGAGATTCTGCTGACATTTTGCCAAGACCATTTATGGGTGAAAATGGATTGGGGATAATTACAGATCAACAACAGAGGAGCATGGAGAATATATATGTTATCCCTGAATGAAAACACAGGAGCAGCGACATCCCCTGAACTGTGTACGTGAAGAGCTGACACCCTTCCGGATTTGGCCCTAAGCCCGGTCCTCACCGGAGAGCTTGGCGGCTTCTGCGCGCTATCCCCCTTGCTTGTGGGGTCTGCTGCTAGGTACCAGGAACGTCCTGGCCCCAATTTTTCACTCATGACTCATCCAACCTGTTCCTAATCTTTACAATGTCATCCAGTCCTCCCGCCTGTCTTGTCAACCGTCGTCAAGGATGGAGAGGGGTGAAACAAAGTGCAGCGACCCAAACCAGGCTGAGCTGTGCATGACAATTTTCTCAGGGGGTCCCATTTGCAGACAAAATATATGCCGACGAATATTTGCCTGCTGAGAGTTAGTCTTTCTTTTGGTAGCAGCCCGTTGGTCTAATTAAACCTGCTGGCACCAGCTTGCACCAGCTCAGACAACTTAAACTCTTCACTTGACGCAGCTGGTAAGGGTTAAATGCCACTCCATCTTAACAGTAAACAGCACTGACGAGAAGTGGTCATGACACTGCTGCCTCTCCTCAGAAGTAAGACACACTGATGTGTCTTACAGCGTTATCGCAGTTCACATTTTGTGACCACAAAACTCAAAGCCGGTGGATGGGCGGGGAAAAAATGGAAGAAACGGAGAAAGACTGAGAGGATGCAGCAGTTACAGTCTGATGAATGGACACATTAATGACTGTGACTGGGTTACTTTAACTTCAGCCTATATTAAGGGACACTCTTAGAAACGCTATTAAACAAACTTTCAATCATTTCATCACTTATGAGTTCCAGATACATGTAAATATTTTGCTTCAGAAGTCCGTTTGGATCATCATGAACAAATTATCAGTACCAACAACATACCAGCTTACAGTGCCATCTTTTAAAAAAAATTTGTCCTCATTAACCCGGCGGGGTCCATCCCCGTTAATTTATTTTTGGCAACCACTGAGAAGCTGTCATCATTAAGCTGTATTTTTGGATACAGAATGCACAGAAATGTAAGCAACAAACCAATGGGCAAGGCATTCTGGAAATGGCTTGCCATAAATAGCACACTGGATGTGATATTTATAGACTTAAACTATGCAAAGTCCTATGAATGACTGATGACAGGTCCAGAAATGTTTCCAGACAGTGAACTTAATGTTGCAGCTGCTAGCTGGCCATTTCCATATGTGCATTATTTAAAGTGTAGCAAGAAATTCAGATTCAAAGTACCAGCTGAGCACTCAGCTTAGTTTTAATATTGGATTTTACCATTTCACTGATGTTGCAAATATGTATAAGCACTATGTGTTCAATGCTTCCCAAATGCTCTTGAGAGAAAAACAGTCACAAGCTTGTTCAGGTGGGACTCGAACCCAAAATCTGCTCACAAGTGCAAGATGTCACTACTCAACTACTACATTCCTGCAAGGGTTGGCTGGTGGGTTCAGATCCAATAAACAGCACAAGGGAGTGCAATCAATGACTTTAATGTAGTTGGACCTGGCATTGGGTTCATCTCACTTCAAGTGCACAGCCCAATATCAAATTTTTCAGCAACTTTTGAACTACGCTGGAGACCAACCTGTTGTTCCAGATACTCTTGAAGAGCTCCAGAGACTCTCGGAGGCGGTTTTGACTGGGGTCTTCCCTCAGTACCAAATTGTAACTACTGCACGCGACCACGAAGATGATGGCTGTCACATCTGCATTGGGGGAGGAGGAGGAAGCAGTGAAGAGAAAGAGGGTGTGAGTGGGTTTTTAATAATGTTGGCACAAAGATAGGAGTGGAGGATAAGTGAACAGGGCAATAGACCTTATTTCTGAGGAAGCCATTTTTTATCTTGTTCCACATATCTATTCTCTGAATTGGGGACTGTTGAATGAGATGGTATCAGACTATTGTAGGATTTTTGGGTGTTTCAAGCCTTTCTTTCTTTCTTTTTTTTAATCTTGCATAAAACACCACTTGTACGTTTTACCACAAATTATAATTCAGATTATAATTTGTCAGGAAATTTAATTTCATTTCTTCAATGATGCCCCTAAGTTCAAAAATGAAAACTTTGCTTTCATTTTCAATATGACCGACTTACGAATAAGGTTATTTTTGGTGACTATGTTCTATGTACCTAAGTATTTAAATCTGAATGGATGTGACAAATCACTGTCAATATACACGTACGACACTTTTAGTAAAAAAATGCCAGTAACAGCACATGCCAGGTACATGTAAGTGGTCTAGATTGGTTCCTGCCTTACATGCTCTGAGCTGTGGAATGAAAATGAAGAGATTGGAAACCAAGCCATTTCCCTCTGGACTAGAAGTAGCCCCCACGCTTTCAAATTGTAATCAGCTAAACAGCCCAGTGGGTCTACACATGACAATCAATTAAGGACACACTGAATGCACACAACAGTTTGTGCAGTTGGAGCAGAATGAAGGTCCAATTTTCAACTGAATAGGCACAAACAAAGCACTTCCCTGTGGCAGGAACCTGATCATCCAAAACCGAACTGAAAGCATAAGCTGTGAACAGTCCCTACTTTTTTCTTTTGGCATTGCATTCTTCATGATTCAAGGCCTAGTCATGTACACCTTCTGTATGACTATCAGAAAATGTATGAGCGCCATGCTGTCCAACAAACAAGCACATGTCATCACACATCTTAATGCAGATTCTGGATGACCACAGTCAGTGAGTGGGCTGGCACATTTTAATGTCTGCCCACGCCCCTACCCTCGTAATTTTGTCACTGTTTACCATTGAAACACTGGATCCACTTCCTCCTCTCATCTCTCTGTCCTCCTACATCGAACATGCTGCAAAAGGAAACCATCAAAAGCAAGCACATGTGAAATATAAACTACTGCGTTAAACCTGCCACAACCTTTTGAGGTGAAAAGTCGGCATCCATGCAGCTAGGACCACTATTTGGGTGATTAACTCCGAACCGAGCAACTCTTTAACAAATTGACGTGTAAAAACGTTGGTGCAAAACTGTTGGACAGATCTGACGGCTGAACTTGTCAAACCAGCCTCAAAGAGGTGGTCCAACTAACCACACCCAAGGCCCCTTCTTCTTTCCATTTTGCACTACTTTCCCACAATCCATGTTGTGTTTGCGCAATGCAGCTCTCAAAACATGTACAAACAACGCATGTAGAAGAAAATATTTTCTACACCGAACTGGCTTATTGTGCATGCACAACGTCATGTGCATGCACAATAAGCCAGTTCGGTATTTCACTGCGCATGCACAGTACAAGGCTATTCATGAACAGCTACATGCGCGAACGATAATCTGTCCCATCAGCGCAGCCATACATTAACTCACGTGCGCGCTTTGTTCCCAAAAGACCTTGGCTTTTTGAAATACCAAATTGGCTCATATGGCTGTCTACATTAACCCTAACAGTACTGGGCGTTGTTTGGCTTAGAGTACTCAGTACTACAAAATACTATGTAACAATCTGAGCCTGAAGGACCTAGTGCTACAAATTACTATTCTGGCTAGGTTTATTCCGTTGTTACTCGTACAGAGAACAATGAAACTATGTATTCATAGTGCCACAGCACTGTATGCTACATTGTCTTCTCTATTGTATTTTACGGCTTCAGAGAATAATAATGCGAGTATTACATTTTACTACTAAGTAGTACTTTGTAGCATTCGGGACTGTTAGGGTTAAGTGAACAGAATCATTGATCCAGCAATCTGTCATGATTATAAATATATATACACTATCACCAATAAAGAACTGTAAATAACAAACTACACATATTCACTATTTCAGTGTCTTTCCCCAAGAATTTAGCACCTGAAGACAACAAGTTTTCAGAGTACAGCTTCTGTGTGCCTTTAGTAAATTGCTGGAATGTGTACAGCTTGTTATGTGGATTACTTGAGCGGGTTAGGGAATACTTACTGAAAGTTTACTTTGTCAACTTGAAACCTCGTTTCAAATATACCCGATGTTAGAACACGACACCGAAGGATATCCTGGGAACAAGTACAGAAGGGATGAACAGTTCAAAAAAGACAACGTAAATATAGCATACTGTGTGTCTTTCTTTTCCTGTTGTAGGTAATCCTGCCAGTCCTGGACACTGCCGCTGACATTATGGGCAGAACTTAGATTCTCATGACAAAAACTAACTGAAAAAAGTAGGCTCACACTTTATGTAATAAATGCAACTGCAAAGGGAACTTTGCAGGTCACAAAACGTTTCCAGCGCAACTTTTCCTGGGTTGCAACGCATTCTCTTTAAAACACAAATCAAGAATTTGCTGCGACATCACAAATTCATGCATTACTTTCTTGTGGAGTGCAAATGAGCCTGAAGATTTGTTTGAGAAAATCATGTTTAAAACAAACTTTACGTAACAACAGATGTAGTGATGTTGGTAATATGAACAATAACAAATATTATCAGTATGCCAAACTCATTCAAAGACTAAAGACACAAAGTGACTATCCTCAGAATCCAACACTTCAAATGTCAAACTGGAATGTTGCAAACTCAGTGAAATCTGATGGTAGGGGGGAAGGGTGGCTATGCAAATTTCCTCAAATACACTTTTCAGACGTGTATATACTTCATTCAGAGGAGACATGACACACTGTTCGTCGTGTGCTTGCCAATACACAATGCAGTTGCCAGCGTTTTTAAACAGCCGTGTCGGTAAACATGCAAGGAAGGAGCGGGGAAGGATGAGGGAAGAGGAGAAAATCAAAGGTCAACTCACCTGTTCACTTGGACTATAATCTGACTGGCTAATATCATCAACTCTATTTAAAAAACTGCAGAGAAAATGAGATGGGAGAGAAAGGAGAAAACAAAAGGTGTCCTCTTTAGAAAATGAAGCGTACTGTTGCACACAATTCTGTACTGAGCAATACAATGGACAGGCCAGTACTGACATTAAAATGAAAATACAATTTGACTGTGCAGATGTCTATTATGAAAAAGCCATTATTTTGCAATTCTGTCTCCTGTGTTTATTGGCAGATCTCATTTCTGTGGGGGAAGGGGAGCAAGCACGGCAACCCCTTCCCCCACAGAAATTTTCACTTTTAAATGTAAAAAGAATAATTATAGGGGCCATTTGTATATCATTTCCCTTCCCCCTCAAAGAATGCAATGTGCCCCCAAATTTAGCATCACACCAGAGACAGCCTGCATAGAATTTCTCAGTTTTTCAGCCCCTTCAAAACCTAAAAAAATGGTGCTGGTTTTGCAATTGAAAAATTGGAATATGCACATTCAGATCCACAATGAAGGTACAGTACTGTACGTGAAACCAAGCCCACAGGGAAAAAAAGTCAAGAATTCCAAAATATCTCTGAAATTTTATTTGAAGTGACGCTGCAGTTAGTGCTGGATTTTTTTTTCTTTTGAACGGGGCTAGTGCACACTTTTATTCTAAATAATTATTTTAAAGGACCATATCGGTATGCATCATTTATCTCGTCTTCAGTTACAAGACTGCTTGCCAACTCCAGAAACTGATATTGGAGTAAATCTTAAAAGGTCATGAGATGAGAGCCTGTGACCAGACATGAAACAAAAAAAGGTCATGAATTATGCAAGAGCCTTGCCCATCCCTGCCGTACTATATGACTCAGATTCATCCTGAGCAAGGAAGGCAAGGCAACAGCAAGGGCCCAATATTACCAGCAGGATTGCGGCTCAATTGCATAGTGAGCCTCTTTTTTTTTTGTTCAAACCGCAATAAAACATGCACACAGTCATTCAAGCCAACAAGATAACCACACCATATATTCACACAAGCACACATATAATACACACACACTGACAAGCTGAACACTGTCGGGATAGAAGAGCCCATGGACGGCGAGTATTGATTGCATTTCAATGGAGCGTGCAGCTATAAATAGCACGGCTGAGCTATATATAGCCGACGGCAATTATGACATGAGGAAGGGTAGGGCACCCTGCAGACTAGTGGGAGGGGGAAGAAGGGGGCCTAGAAACCTCCCCTCAGATGGAGAAAGGAGGAATTAAAAACTGAATGCAATCAGCTCATAAGACTAAATACAACATACTCAGATGATTTGCTGATGGTTAATGCCTATCTCAGATAACACACTGAAGCTTTTTTTTTTCATTCTGTGCAGTTATTTTGTACATCTACTCATAGTGTTTAAACAAGTTTCCTACGTACGAAAGAAAAAAATGATGTGTGCACAGTGACGGTGTGCATCCATGAGCAAATATTTGACTTCACTTGCTCAATTTAGAAAGTGTACATCTTGGACGCTTTATAAGCAAATGCTTTTTTATGCAATTTTATGCATTCACCATGTATTCACATTTCATGTATTCATCGGAATAGGGGATATTGTCTACATTCATTTTATCCCAATTCCCAAGTGATTTGGCATATGGACCACAACAGTTCATGGGTAATTCCAGAAATTAGGGGTCCGTTTTTTGTGTGCGTCTCCCTGTCAAATCTGACATATGATTTTGTAAGTTCAGAACAGATTTTTGAATTTCAAAGTGTGATGAATTGATGCAAATTACCTGCCAGTGCCAAACAAATACATGTACTAATAGTTTGAAATCAATTCCAGTGACATTTCCGTGTCAAATAGAAAAGGTCAGATGAAACGGGGACACAAAATGTCACACTTTTGGACCCTTACTTTTTGGAATTACCTTTACACACTCCATCCCATCCACGAAGGAACACTCTTTCACGCAAGGTGCTTGCTACTTTATGAGTTATATTGGCACAATGAGTCCACTCATTCTTCCTTCATTTCTTCGCTCATTTGCCTCAATTCTTAATTCACCAACAGAAGGCAAGTCACCTGAATCATTCGCTTATTTAGTGTAGGTCGGCATTTAATTTTGTTCATGATGTAATGAGGAAATCGACAGACTGAAACACGTGTGCAAAAGCTTACTGATCCAAATCCTTGATCAACTTGACCAGGACAGCTCAATGGATGCTGTAAAAATACATTATCTCAGCTCCATGTGCAAATACAAAACGGAAGAGTGAGAGACACACACAACAAAAACCAATGGATAATTTCATCATGTATTGAATACTATGGCCAAATATAGCTCCAATAACAAACCCTCCCAGTAGTTAAAAGAAGAAGAAAGATTACTTTCACAGAATAAAATACAAGCCTTAACAAAACAAAAGGGGAAAAAGGACCAAACTCCAGCGAATGGTAATTCGATGGAACGCCGGCCTGCCCTTTGAAAACTATCGAATTTGGCTCCGCTGAAGGCTAAAAATAAACTGATTAGCTGAGGAGGCAATCGAAATTGAAATTCAGGCTCAAAAGTGACAATGCTTCACTCAGAACATGCCCTTTTGAAGAATCAAGACATAAAGATAAAGCAATATGGCTAATATTCTCGCTTGGGTTTTTCAAGGTCGTGATACTACGAGTGCAAAACACAGTACGTTGATACCACAGTGACAAGTGACAAGGGTGACCATTTTGCCCCCATCTACAATGACAACTTAATTTTCAAAAAAATACATCTCATGTTCAACTTGACAATGGAGGACCTTCCATTTCCTACAACTGCAGGATTCTGAAGGCTTTCGGAGACTATCTACAGTGCTGTCACTGACCGACTTCTGCCTAGTTCAGTGGTTGGAATGAAAGGTTCCAACTGGTAAGTTTTAAATAATAAGGTAGTTTCGTCTAGATCTAGTTGTTGAAGCCAATTACTTTTCATGCATTGCAAAATGCGACTTTGCTTCTCACCAACTTCTTAGCACTTTCTTTTGCCACAGTTAGTAAATATTCACCAATAGATGACAAAGGTGAGTGAAAGCTGGAACCCTGGGTTTATCTAGAAACTTGTCAATGAGATGACATTTCAACATTTGCAGATATTGATTACACAACACATTTGCGGGGAAATAAGGTAATCTGTCTGAGGGTTTTAACATAACATTTGACTGGCCAGTCACCCAATAATTATAATGACCTGTAAAATATTAAATAAAAAATATCAGAGGTCACTGGAAATAAAACAAGGAAAAAAAATCAAACAGACTCCCAACTCGACCAACTCTTTAAAATTAATTCATATGATTAAAGGTCTCCTTGGCCCTCCAGAGCCCAGACCATACACTGTGTGCCAAGACAGGGCCACACAACAGCTGCTTCCACTGAGACTTTTCCTATCCCATCTGTGAGCCCAAAAAAGAGGACAGTTCTTTTCAGAAGTTACCATCCGTTCTATTAATGTGAGCGTCACCCTAACAGTCAACAGGTGGTACTGGTGGCAACTGCCGATTTGAGGCCAGTAGAGCACAGCTACAAATTATCTGCAATACCCTGAAATCTTTAAGTACAGGGGTTAACCACAAAGTTTAGTTTATAAATGTGTGTACGTCAGTATCAAGTGAAGATTCTGAGCCGAATCACTCTAAAGGAAGAAGGGAAGGCATGTTTTTACAATGTGGAAATGACATCCATGAGGCTGGGAAACAACAGTTTGCGTTCAACTATAACGCCTTCCCCGGGTGCACAGAAAGGGTGCTTGTACTTGGAGCAGACGGGAATAGAACAAAATTCCTAAGCCAATGGGATTACACAGATTTCGTGCGATCTACATCATGTAAGTGCTGAATGGTGGTACATGTAAGTGCAGAATTCTGTTAGTGAGGCCATGAAACCATACAGCCCTGGCATGAAGGTTGTGGATCCTTTCCTTGACCTATGCCCTCTTCGAGTACCTGTACTCACAAATGAATCGACAGAGTATTTAAAAAAACACAAAACCAAATTCCATAAAAGTCTATGATGACAGAGTAATTTAGCTGAGGGCAAGGAGAGCGAAGTCCAGCCCATAGTATGCATACCCTGTCCACGCCCACAAGCTGGTACCCCTAATACTGCCGCATGCAGTTCTCAGGTCAAACATGAAATAGAGTGACTGATAACCATGGGCACCCTTTGTTCAAGCAGATTTCACAAAATACGCCTACAAGCCAAATAACCTGTTCATGACCGTGACGGAGGATAAAAACTGTGATGAAATATGTTCATCCCAAAGATGACTGTGTTAACCATCATATGGACATGAACGGCTCTTTACCGTGTACTTGTACATCTGGAATGCCACAGTCCAAGAGCAGCCTTGAAGAAACACTGTTTCTAAGCTATAGATCCTATATGCGTAACACATCAGACATTTGTTCAGTACTCAGCGCCATACTACGCATAAACAGAATCAAAATATTATTATTGTTTCTTCTTTTTTTTGACATCAGGTGGTTTGAATCATTGTATTTTATATAGAAAGGTACTGGGAAATCTTGTGCTTGTATCATGTGCTTGGATAATGCAATTTCACTGGTCGATAATAGCCACATGGTAGGTCTGAAAACAATCCAGACTTAATTATGTTGTGCAAGTCAACCTCAAATATTTTGCTAGTAGTTGTGTACACTTTGGAGAACCTACACGCGCACTTGAGACTCAGCACGGCAACTGCTTGTGTCCGGCAGTTACTGCAAGTAGTGACTTCAGTTACTTCGTGCACTGTTTAACAGGCATAATCATTTATGGTCATGACTTATTGGCAAAAGACTGTGGACTGCTGTGATTCAGGACACACTATTTTTAACCCTCTTGGAGTGCATAACACTTTGCCCCGGGGTACTATGCGCTGCATACATGTACATGTACCTATCCTGCAGAAAAACGTCAACAACTGTCAAGTGGTACATGGGCACAATGACCTGACACACATTTGGATCAAATAACAAGACACCAGGAAGTGCACATAGTTGGCT